CCCCCCCCCCCCCCCCCCGATAAATATAACATTTTTCCTTTCTCTAGCTGGCTTTATTTATTGTAAGGATACAGTGTATAATGCATGTAGCATACACAATATGTGTTGATCAACTGTTTATGTTATTGGTAAGGCTTCTGGTCAACAGTAGGTTATTAGCTAAGCTTTTAGGGTGTCAAAAGTTATACATGGATTTTTGACTCTCTGGGGATAGGTGCTCCTAACCTCCACTTTGCTCAGGGTGAACTGTATATACTTCACATGCACTAATTATGGATGGTTAATTCTTATGAAAATATCAGGATGTTTTAGTAATACTGCTGATATGTTGTGGGTGATGTTGGAGAGGATAGCTAGCTGTCTTATAAATTACAGATGGATGTCCTTTTCAAAGAAAAGATACTTGATTCATATGGCAGTCCCATATTTTTGTACATATGTTTTGTACATATTTTGTATATATGTTCCTGAATCTATGTGTAGAGAAGTAGAACAAGAAGTTTATGTGTTACGAAATTGCAAAGGGTTGGAGAAATTCATGATTTCATCTCCGGAAAGATTTTTTTTTTAAAGTATTGAAATCTCCAATGTTTCTTTCCCTTTAGACACATAATGACCTATATCTCCATTTTTTAATGTACATTGATTTCTTTCTTCACAATTGAACATGTAGTAGACATGCTTAAACCAAAGGGAGTCTGACAGTGGCTAACTGTTCACTACTTTTAGCAAGCTTAATAATTTCACTATTTGGCGGAGTCATTTTAAGTTAGAATCCTACGTTATCATTAGTAATCAGCAGTCTTATTTTTAAAAAGACATTTTCCAATCACATTAATAAGGACAAAATTGAATAAAATTTTCAAATAAGTGCCCCAACAAGCACTGAGGTATAGACAAAGGAGGGAAAATTATATTATTACTCAAATTTGAAAAGACAGTTTAGAGGTTGGAAGTGTGGGTAATAGTTTGTAAAGAAGTTAGAATGTATAAAAGTTGAAGGCTACGTTCTTTGGTTGTTTAACATTTTATACATTTATATGGGTAGGATTCTCCCCCACCAATGAAATAGGTATCAGCAATTTCATTTTTGCAGCTGAAACCTTCCTATTCTAAAACATCGAACTCTTTTAAAACTGGATTGAAAATGTTTTATGCCCTTAATTCTATATAGTAGGAAAATTATTTTGAGAAGAACCTATGGAAGGAGGGGGCACATTTTAAGTAGTTAAGTTGTAAGTGAAAATAAATGCTTCTAAGCTTAATTCTTATTGTTTCAACAGATAATTACTGTTTGCAACATTGTTCTTTTGCACATTGTTTTTGAAAAGCATTAAGTAGATCCAGTGTGCCAGATTTGACACTAAATAGCAGTTGTTGATGTCAGATGTTTATATATCACATTCATGTCACAGGAGCTAAAGGAGATTGCCATCTAGATTAATAAACTACCTTTATGAATTTAATTTAAAATTACTAAATATTTAATCCATTCTTTGTCTGTATAAATAACTTGTTTAGACCAAACTGAGTGCTCAGGTCTACCGAAACATAAGTTGTACATTTTGACAAGGGTTTCATTTTAATTACTTGCTTAAGTGCCCAGTTGGATGAATTTCTGTAACAGTTGATGATTCAGAGACATAGGATAAGTTGATAACCTAATGATGCATTTCTCTTATTCAGGATAAAAGAAGTAAATGAGACTAACAAACGAGTAGAACAGGAAATTAAAGTGGCCATTTTCACCCTTATCAATGAAATTAATAAGAAAGGAAAATCTCTCTTACAGCAGCTAGAGGTATGGTTCAAAACCAAAATAAAACAACAACTGCTTCTCTTGCTCTTTAGCTGTTTTTAATGTTTATTGAAAGGTCTTTTAGATTGGTTGGGGGGGTATGGAAATAAAGACAAATTAAAAACATTTTTCATTTCATTTTCTATTGGAAAATAGAGCTTTACTGAGTTAGTTAATTTGCAGCCCAATTCAGTAATACTGATTTTAGCTGTATAAATGAGGAGATAGTGTTGTCCTCTTAAGATTTAAAGAATTATTACTAAAATGTGATATAAACAAAGACAAAGCCAACCTACTACTCCCCACTCCCCCACCCCCATCCCTGAATATAGGGCCTCAATTTAATTTTTACATGTGAATGTATACTGGGGTCTGCTTGAGTCATTTGTGTTTTACTTTATTTTGAAAATATTCCATAGTTTTGCTAAAAATGCTGCTCATTTTGAAATTTATAAACTTTAAACTTATTGCATTTTTTAAGATTAATATGCAGATATAAATTTCCAGATAAGAATCCAGTCAGTTTGAAATCCAAATTAAGTTTTAAACAGAGTTGTCTCTACTGACCACAGTTCATTGGTTCTCAAAATTTGGTACTCTTTAGTCGGTTCAGGTGATAGGGGGTTGTGTTTTCTGCATCATCAGTAGCAATTTAAGCTATGTATTTGATTTTTTAAATTTCTATTACTTGTAACCTCAACATTTCCACAGATTATTTTCTGTTCCGTTCCCTCATAGATCATTGTAGAAATACTAGACACATAGTTACATACAAATGAAAGAAATTATGTTGGCAGTATTATTTCTGCATTTCTGTCTTTTGAAATACATCTTTTTATTGAGACACAATTGTGAGATTAAAAGTACTCTCACACATACCATTAAAGTTGGAGGTCTCTTTCCTCTTGTACATTCAGCTGATGCATTTAACTCTAACAGATTTTTGTTTTCAAAGACTCTTCGTGGAGAACACTGAGCAGCAACTATTTCTGATAATCTTTTGATAACCTTTTAACTTACTGCAAATACACTGTAACTTAGGTCGAAAATAATCGTAAACCATTTCAAGAACTTTTGAATGAAAAGATGCCTTTTAATGCTAAAATATACAAAAATACTGAATCATAAATCTGCCACACACGCCTAACATGCTGAATTTAAGGAATAGATGTTTTCTAGTGTAATATGTTCTTAAACTTTGTAAAATAAAGGTTTTCCTATGCTTGGTAGAAGGGATGATTTCCAGGGAACTTGTGAATCAAACTTCTATCAGTTGAATACTTTTATCCATCGTTTTGCATTATAAAATGGGCAACTTGTTTTCTTAGGAAAAAATTGCCCAATGAGTCAAGTTGAGGTGTTCAGAAAATGGTCAAGTGCAAAGTAGATAGGTTGTTTGGCATGCCAGATGTCAGAGCATATAAGATATCACCTGTCCCTTCCGGGAGTTTTAGTTCCCAGGTAGTTTATTTTTCCTTTGCAGCATTTGCCCTCAAATTGGTCCTTCAATTCTTATTTATGCTCTTGTTCTTTGAGAACTTTTGTTATTTCAAAAGGTTCCTTAACTCTTAGAGCTTTAAAATTTACCTTTCTCATTTTGTCTTTTAAACGTATTTGAAGGAAGAGATTTTAACTTTAGCCTCCTGCTATACCAGTAGGTGGCACTGGTAACACAAAATTTTCTTTGGACCTAAAAGTGTGGAGTTGATTATATCAAATTTCTAAAGGTCAGCTCATTATGCCACAGATTCTGTATATTGGATTAGCCTAATAGATACTATTTTTATTTATTGTTTTTTAATTTATTATTTTTTAAAATTTATTTATTTTAAAAGAGAGGGAGGGAGAGAATCCCAGGCAGGCCCTGGGCTGTCAGCGTGGAGCCGGATGGGGGCTCAGACTCACAAACTTTGAGATCATGACCTGAGGCAAAACCAAGAGTCAGACGCTTAGCCGACTGAGCCACCCAGGAGCCCCTAGATACTATTTTTAACAAAGACATTTTATCTTCTGAAGGAAAAGGGAGACATCAACTAACAATTTTTATATGTGGAATGCCCCTTTGTTAGCTTTGAGAACTAAGTTTTAGTTCCGCCTTTGTTTGCCTAAGTTTAGTTTCCAACTTTTGATCAGAGGCTCATTCCATAATGAGATAAGTTAACTTATCCCGATTGTAAAAAGTAACGTAGGTATTGTGTTCGTTTGCAACAGAAACAATGAGTTGGATTTTTCGTATAGAATTCTTCATTGAACTCTTGTTCTGTTTCAGAATGTTACAAAAGAAAGACAGATGAAGTTATTACAGCAGCAGAATGACATCACAGGCCTTTCCCGGCAGGTGAAGCATGTGATGAACTTCACAAACTGGGCAATTGCGAGTGGCAGCAGCACAGCTCTACTGTACAGCAAGCGACTGGTGAGACACATAGTGTGTTTATCCACAGGTCTTTACATTGATTTTATTAAGACTTACATTCAGTGAACTGTAGCTGTTTCAAGCCTAGATTTTGTATTTTTGCCAATGTAACCACCACTGCATTAAGATACAGAAAATTTCCATCACCCACAAAAGTTTCTTTGTTCCCCTTTACTCCTGACCCTAGGCAACCATTAATCTTATTTCTGTTATTTTCTAGAATTTCATGTAAATGGATTCATACAGTATTTACTGTCCTGAAGATACATGATAAATCATTTCTGCCAGAAATGTGCACTTGATTGCTAATATAGGTAGTCTTTTAAACACAACTGTCTCATCTCAGATCGTGGGGCTACATGAGCTTTTTATGTCTTTACCATGTTTGTTTTCTCAGGTAATACTTAATTTTTAAGACTAATGTGAATTTTTTCCCTTCAAGATTACTTTTCAGTTGCGCCATATTTTGAAAGCACGGTGTGATCCTGTGCCTGCTGCTAATGGAGCAATCCGTTTCCATTGTGATCCCACCTTCTGGGCAAAGAATGTAGTCAATTTAGGTGAGAATTAATTAGTTTTTTCAGTGTGACTGGGAACACTAAATTAGGAGGAGAAAGAATCTAAAACAGATTTTAGATCCTTAAAGCTTTACTGTAACACATAAACTTCTTGGAAAATATGTTCCTCATTGGAAACTCACTTGTGCTCTGTTCGTGACATTTTGAAGAATGTTGAGCGTCTCCTGTGTGTAGATTTTAAAAATGTGTATTATTGTTGACTTTTCCCCCACATACTTGAAAATTGGTAATGACTGTTTTATGTAAAAAACCTAGCATATGGGGCTTCATTCTCTGCAAGAATTTATTAGATGCCCTAATAGTTTGTCCACTAGAGGAGGCCCTCCAGGATGCTGATGTGTGTGAAAGTCACATTGAGGAATGTTTGAAAGATAAGAGTAGCGCTTTTCCACACAGAAGAGAAATGGGCTTCACTCTTGTCCACGGTGTGGACCTACAACCATAGGTGAAAGTTACAGAGAGACAGACAAACAGCTCAATTTAAAACAAAGACCCAAAACTTCCCAACAGTTAGAACTGTCTACAGATTGAGGAAACTCACTTTGAAAGTAGTTAAGTTCTCACCACTGGAAGTGGTAAAAGCAGAGGTGAATGGATTTCTGTAAAAAAGTGATCTTTGTGTATATTAAAATTTGGCTATAGCCTTAGAGAAGGCATTGGCAAACTGTATTTTGTGTGGCATGGTAGCTAAGTTTGTTTTTTACATTTTAAAGGCTTGTAAAAATAAATGAAAGTAGAAGAATATATGGCAGATCTTATGTGGTCTGCAAAGCCTAAACTATCTGACCCATTAAAGGAAAGGTTTGCCAACTCTGCCTTACATCCAACCTTCCTAAAATTTGCCTTCTATTCCTAGAAAATAAAGGGCTGTGTGAGAACCAAGGAAAATTGTCATTTCTAGGGACGTAAGTGGCTAAAACATTCCATGTTTCCATGGGAGACAGTTTTCTAGCAATGTAGTACTCTGCCCTGAATAGTATGGCAATTCAAAGGAAAATGGAATCAGCATTAGCAGTCTTAGATATCCTTGAATCTTGTCCAGGAGAATTGATTTTGACTGACTAGATGTGCCTCCTCCAATAACATCTGTTTCAGATCTTTAATTTTCTGTACATTTGTGTAAATATAGAATAATACACAATACATTATTCTGAATAATCAAAAGTCAATTATTTGGCTTTGGACTATGTTTCTGATCTTCATCATCTTTAAACCTATCTCCCACCTCTGCTGTCCTGTCAGAAGCTTTGAGTGCTAATAGTTGTGAAAGGAAAGAGAAAAAAATAGTGGCAATCAAAAGTGGATGATTTAATCGTTTATATGCAAATTATTCTCATTTTTTAAATCCTTCAGGTAATCTAGTAATTGAGAGTAAACCAGCTCCTGGTTATACCCCTAATGTTGTAGTTGGGCAAGTTCCTCCAGGGACAAACCACATTAGTAAAACCCCTGGACAGATTAACTTAGCGCAGCTTCGACTCCAGCACATGCAACAGCAAGTATACGCACAGAAACATCAGCAGTTACAACAGATGAGGATGCAGCAGCCGCCTGCACCCGTATCCACAGCAACGACCACGACACAGCAGCACCCTCGACAAGCAGCCCCACAGATGTTACAGCAACAGGTGAGTATTAGAGCATGGCACGATTGATAAAAATGATGAAAGCCTCAAGACTGCACTCCGTCCTATTGGGATGAATTGCACATTTCAAAGTGACTAGCAGAGACAAAGCTCAGAGGTCAGAGTTTAAATATTTGCTCTGGGTTTGGCAGGGGCCTGGGGGAGATGTGACAAAGGGCATTAAAGAACTATTTAACATGGGATATGAAACTAACTCATGGTACTATAGAAGAGCAAAAGTTTTTATCCCTCCATTCCAGGTATTTTTTGTTTTCACGTGTGATTTGGGGCCAGAAAGCCAGATATTTTTTTTACCTAAGATCAGATACATTCCTTAGGCATTTATTCAAACTATTCCCATCCGTGTATCTCTTTTGATCTCCCCTCCCCCATCCAAATCAAAACCACTAGTCCAGGTTTGGATAAGTTAATGTTGATAGGCTTTACACACACACACACACACACACACACACACACACACACACACACACACACAGCAGAAGGGATTGGGGCTAGAGTTGGGGAGAATGACTTACGCTTTATACTTTATGCCATTCTGTCCTGTCGATTTTTACCATAACATTTTATCATTGAAAGATAAATTTATAAAAAATATTATTAAGCAAATGCAATGCCTACCTTTTGTAGCCTCCAAGATTGATCAGTGTGCAAACAATGCAAAGAAGCAACATGAACTGTGGAGCTTTCCAAGCCCATCAGATGAGATTGGCCCAGAACGCCGCCCGGATACCAGGGATACCCAGGCACAGCGGCCCTCAGTATTCCATGATGCAGCCACACCTCCAAAGACAAGTATGCCTAGAGTTACATTTGTAAGAATCATACAATTTTAAAATTAAAAGACATAGTTTTTCTTAAGCAGGTGGGGGCTCGGGGTTGGCCATTGATACCTTTGAAAATTTGATTAATGCTGTGTATCTTCTTGTTCTCTCAAATTACACATACACATGAATTCAATTTTAACAGCTTCTTTAATGGCATTATACCCATTATATACTATGGGTTAAGAACCTCTGGTCTCGTCCAGCCAATTCATTTTACAGAAGTAAAAAACAAAGGTGCTTTTTATTTATCCACAATCACAAGAGGTAACGGTAAAGTCAAGATTAGAACCTTAGTTTCCTGAAATTGTTTCTCTGTTCTTTTCATGTGGTAGTGTGAACTTGATCTGTAAAAAGGACTTTGAAAACAGTAGAGCTGTGCTATATAATTTATTTATTTGGGTATAGCTTCTCCCTGCTTGTTTTTCTTTTTAGGATATAGATAATGCCTGCTATGAAAAATAAGTGTATTTTAAAACATGTTTTCTGATTTTTGCCTGAATAGTAGGTTATAGTTGAATAGGAGTTAGGACTATAAAATCAGGCTACTTTTACATATGATCTCTAGTTATAAAATAATAAAGTTCATTGTGGAACTGTTATAGTGATATTTTTCAAAGCATGCTTTAATAACCCTCAGAATGAGTATGAGGTCCTTGTCAAAAATAGATTCTGAACCATAGCCATTGAGTCCAAATTTCTAGGAGGAGAGTACTCAGAAATAGTAAACTTTTACTAACTCTCAGATCAGTTTGCATACTAAACTTGGATAAATAGTCCCAGTGCAGTGGTTCTTCAACTTTTATACGCAAGTACCTTTGGAAAGACTTTTGAAAAATAGGCACTCCCTCACATTTAAGACTGACATTTAAAAGTTCTATTATAGGGGCACCTACGTGGCTCAGTTGATTAAGTGTCCGACTTTAGCTCAGGTCATGATCTCATGGTTCGTGAGTTCGAGCCCCACTTTAGGCTCTGTGCTGACAGCTCACAGCCTGGAGCCTGCTTTGGATTCTGTGTCTCCCTCTCTCTCTGCCCCTTCCCTGCTTGTACTCTGTCTCTCAAAAATAAATAAAACATTAAAAATTAAAAAAACAATAAAGGTTCTATTATAAATTTAAGTTTCAATGATTGCCAAGGACATATTTTCTGGCATATTGTAATTACTGACATCATAAAATCAAACCGTTTCATCATTCTTATAAACTAATCCAGTGGAATCCCAAATACTATAGCAAGCTCTTTTTTGGAAGTCCAAACTTTATTGTCTCTTTTATGCTTGGACCTGAATTTCTCTTCTACTTCGTCTATAGAATTTTATCTTTATATACTTATGTTTGATGGGTATATAGATCAGTCAGTTGCAGTTTTCTGTGGGAAAAATGTCTATCTTAATTTAAAAATTCTTGTATTTCCAGTGACAGTAAGACTATTATTAAGCTTAAAAATATTATTTTGGACCAAATTTTCATTATAGTAATTTCTGTACAATTATACATAAATATACTTATATGGTTTAAGAATATTAGGAAACATAAAAAATAAAATTCTTCTGGGTACACATTTCTTTATGAAACAGATGGAGCCTTTTCCTTTTTCCTGTTCATTTGTGTGTGTGTGTGTGTGTGTGTGTGTGTGTGTGTGTATTTATTTATTTTAATGTTTATTTAATTTTTGAGAGAGAGAGAGACAGTGCCAGCAGGGGAGGGGCAGAGAGAGAGAGGGAGAGAGAGAATCCCAAGCAGGCTCCATGCTGTCAGCACAGAGCCCAGTGTGGGGCTCAATCCCATGAGCTGCGAGATCATGACGTGAGCTGAACCAAAATCAAGAGTTAGGTGCTTAACTGACTGAGCCACCCAGGTGCCTTATATATATTTGTGTATGTTAATTGTTAGAGTTAGAATTCAGCATCAGTTTTTATTACTGTTTTTTCTTGTTTCTGTTTTCTTATGATGCTTGGGAACCTGTTTACAAAAACATGTATCTGGGAATTAAAGTAATTTTTTCATTTTCCTGAATTGTTTGAACTTTTGCAGATTATAAACTAAAACTTAGAATGAGCTATGAATACTACTTTATGCATCTTTATCAGTTGACAGTTTCTTCATGTCTTTTGTTTTTGTTTGTTGATCATCTTATATCAGAACCCACTCAGAGATTTATTAACTCAGGTTTTTGAGGTGGGCACTTTGTCATCAGCTGAACACTTGTATCTTTGCTTGTCTCAGAGTATTTTCTGCCCCAGGGTAGTGTGTTAGATAGGATTTGAAATGGGTCAGAGGTGTGCTGTTTTAGGGGAGAGGGAGAAGTGCAATTATAGAAGGAGAGGAGAACCTGTAGACTGGCACATTCCTAGGGAAATTGGGTTTTCTTTAGAAAAAAAGTACATATGAAGGTTGAAGATCTGGACATTAGTTTCCATAAAAGTGTTCACATAGCCATGTACCCAAAAGCCCACAAATATTACCAGGGAGCAACTACACCCTTTGGAAGAGTGCAGAAGCTGCAGAATCATCAGACTTTAAGGCCCCTACAGAAATAAGTGAATGTTAGAATTTTCAGTGTTTAAAATTTCTAATTATTTATTTGTATATGTATAATTTGTTTCCCAAGGATTTTCATCTATATTTATCTTAAATGATCCTAACAGTCGCTTACAATGAGACAGGTGAGGTGTTACTCACATTTCTAAATTACTGAGATTATGTGATTTGCCTAGAGTCACAGATTATTACAATCAGGAATTGATGTCATATTTCCTTTTGTACATTCATTTTTTCCTACCGTATCAGTTATATAATAGACAACTATCCAATTGTTTTTATTTTTAAAAAGACGGAAGAGTCAAAGAGGAATATAAATAGAACAGTGACTTTCCCGGCCTGATGTTTAAAAACTTTGGGGGCTTCTAGATCATCTATTTATGTACATCTTTGTTTGTAATAATGCCATGTCACCAGGCTGGCAGGTTGAAAATAATGGCAAATCTGCTTTCCCTAAAAAGTAGACAAAAATGAGTAGGAAAACAAAAAGGCTAAGTTTGAGTTATTGTTACTTTTTTTGTATAAGTTGGAGAAGGCTTTTCCCCCCAGTTTTATTAATAATTGATGTACATCACGATAAATTTTAGGCTTACAGCATAATGGTTGATTTACATAGATTGTGAAATGATTACAATAGGTTCTGCTGATATCCATGATGTTATATAGATACAATAAAAAGAAAAGAAAGGAAGAAAATTCTTTTCCTCCTTGTAATAAGAACTCTTAGGATTTACTTTTTTTTTTTTAATGTTTATTTTTGAGAGAGAGAGACACACACACAGTCGAGCAGGGGAGGGGCAGAGAGATGGAGATACAGAATTAGGATTTACTTCTGTTCTATATATTTAAAACTATGGTCATACTGTATGTTACATCCCTGTTACTTGTTATCTTATTACTGGAAGTTTGTACCTTTTGCCTTTTGACCACCTGCCATTCCCTCTTCTTCCACCCTCCACCTCTAGAAACCACAAGTCTGAACTCATTTTATATGAATTTGTTTTTGTTTTAAGATTCCACATATAAATGAGATCATACAGTGTTTGTTTTTCTCTGTCTTATTTCACTTAGTATAATACCTTCAAGGTCCATCCATGCTGTGGCAAATGACAGAATTGTCTCATTTTTTATGGCTGAATAATACTGCATTCTAGACACACACATACACATTTTAGATACATACATACATACAACTTCTTTGTTCATTCATCAATGCATGGACACTTAGGTTGCTTCTGTGGCTTGGCTATTGTAAGATAAGGCTTCCTTCTTTGTTCTTAGTCACAGGTATCAAACACTTGTATATCCTTCCTAAACTAAAACTTCTTGTAAAGGTGTAGTTCACATTAGGGTATCCTGGCAGGTCAAGTAATGATAACATCTTTTTTCCTAACAGCACTCAAACCCAGGGCATGCTGGACCCTTTCCTGTTGTGTCGGTGCACAACACTACAATCAATCCAACCAGCCCTACTACAGCTACGATGGCAAATGCAAATCGAGGTCCCACCAGCCCGTCTGTTACAGCAATAGAGCTAATCCCCTCAGTTACCAATCCTGAAAACCTTCCATCGCTGCCAGATATTCCACCCATACAGGTTTGTATTTAAGTTGAATGACAGATTTAAAAGCTGTTAATTAGGAAGCATTCTTTCTTTTAAATTTAGGAACAACATTTTTTGAAATTTCCAAAGAGTAGAGTATTAACTATTTGATTTTGAAGTTATGTGTGGTAAAAAAAGATAATAAAAATTATGTGTGCTGAAACTAGCATGCCTCAATATTTTGAAGTTCTAAGATATCAGTTTTGTTAATCTTTCTGCCACCTGCCAACAGACAAACCTTATGTTAGACAAAGCACTCCTGCTGTGAGCTTGGATCCAGAGAGGACACCAGGACCCCAAATGTGGTCACATCTTTGCCATTCTTCTGTTTGGTTCAAAAGGGATGAGGTACCCCTTGCGCAAACAGAGTGGACTGAGAAAGAAAGTGGTTGCAAGGCCTAGGTATCAAGCACTTGTGGAGAGGAGCAGGAGGCATCCTGAGAGAGGCAGTGATGGTGAAGAGTAGAAGGGCCTCTGAGGCATCTGTCCCTTTCACCTGTAATATTTTCCTGAAGAAACATATCTTTCAGTGCCTTATGAAATTTCATTAATTCATTTGAATTAAAAGCCTTTTATTAAACTTTTTTAGTGCAACGTACAAGCTTTATTTAACATAGGCAACAAAGGCAAACAGCCACTTATATTAAAGGGAAAACAGACTAGAAGAGATTTTATCTTAAACACCTTAGAGAGGCGCCTGCGCCTGGCTGGCTCAGTCAGTGGAGCATGCGACTCTTTTTTTCTTTTAAATAATATTTATTTATTTGTTTGTTTATTTATTTATTTATTGAGAGAGAGAGCGCGCGTGCGCACGCGAGCGAGCAGGGGAGGTGCAGGAAGAATCCCAAGCAGGCTCCGCACGGTCAGCACAGAGCCTGACTTGGGGCTCATACTCATGAGCCGTGAGATCATGGCCTGAACTGAAACCAAGAGTCGGATGCTTAACCGACTACTGAGCCACCCAGGTGCCCCAAGCGTGCAACTCTTTGATCTTGGAGTTGTTAATTTAAGCCCCACATTGGTTGTAGAGATTACTTTAAAAAAAAAAAAAAAAAAAAAAGAGCCATCATATAATAACTTACTTACAGTTGCACTTAACTGAGCTCTGTTGTAGTGAAGAATACAGCTCATGCACCGTTATGGATGAATGATTTGTACGTTTTCAAGTACTCACTGAATACTACCTCACATATGTATACATTAAATTTGAAAAAGGTGTAATTAATGATCCCCAGATATACTTCATTTTTGTTGATATTTTGGAAGAGGTTATTTAAGAGAAGAATATGTGATTCTGGCTCATGAATCATGTGATGAACCCAGCCTGGACTCTGTTGGACACCAGGTCTCCTCCACTGGTCTTCAGACATCAGATGGGTTTTAGATACTGGTTAGGAAAGTTCTCTGGGTAACATGATACGCTGGTACTCGTAGTGCTTGTTGAAATACTTGTTCAAGTTGATCTGCTTGTGGGCTTCCTGAGGGTGGGTGGGAGCAATGAGGCACCAAGAGTGGGCTCAGCAGACTGCATGTCCCCATTAAGCCAAGGCAACGACTTGACAAAAACATTTTATTTATACATTCTGTGTAACCTTTGAAGGTTATATATACTGAGTCGTCCTCTCCTGCATTGTGCAAGTTACTCAGAGTCAGGTGTTACCATGGGAGCAAGGAACAGTGTAATTACTAAGATACTAAGACCCTAGATTGCATTTTAATATTTTTATGGGTTTTATGGATTTTATAAGAGTTTTAAAGGATGTTTCTTTAACTTCAAATTGTTTCACAATCACTAACACATTGTGAATTCTCTTAATCTTATTGCTTCCTAAATATTAGGAGAGGTCTTTTTTGGCTGAGTGAATGTTAGTTGTATTGGTGCTGAGAGGACTGGACGATACAGAATGGGAAATTTGGGAATGTGTCTGCAAAAAAGTAAAATTTCTGAGTCATAAACTTAGAGTTTGCAAAGCACTTTCACAAGCAGTATTGTCAGTTTAATATGTGAAGTCCTCTTGTCATAATGGCACCCATATTTTATGGATGAGAGTAAGAGGGATTAGTGACTAGTACATGGAAAAATTTTAATTCAAAGCTCACGCTCCTAATTATAAGGCTGGTTCTCTCCCTGCTCTCCATAGAGAGATAGTAGGGAGATAGTTTGTGATTATAGGCCTGGAAAGGTATAGTACTGAGAGGCTTTGGGCAACCAGAGAGAGGTATGTACAGTGTTAAAAGAATCATTAAGCTCAACACTTAGCATATGCTAAAGTCCTTGGGGATTTAGAATAAAAAGATTAATAAGACTTGGTTCCAGGTCTTAAACTTTGAAGAGGAAGAGGAAGTTTGCCAATGTCTTACTTAACGATAGTTTGCTAGGGCTATTCTGATCTTGGTTTGGTGCTTTCTGACAGAGACTAGATGGAGGAAGTGTAGATGTTCCACAGCTTTGAAAAGCTTGGCAACATATTAGACTTTCCTTTTCATCACCTACTTTTTATTTTTATTTATTCATTTATTTTTAATTTTTATTTTTTTTAGTGTTTATTTTAATTTTTTTATTCTTTATTTTTGAGAGTGAGACAGAGTGTGAGTGGGGGAGGAACAGAGAGAAAGGGAGATACAGAATCTGAAGTGGGATCCACTGTCAGCACAGGGCCTGATGCGGGGCTTGAACTCATGAACTGCAGGATCATGACCTGAGCCGAAGTCGGACACTTAACCGACTGAGCCACCCAGGCACCCCTGTGTTTGTTTATTTTTGAGAGCGAGAGAACAGAGCATGAGTGGGGTAGGGTAGGAGCAGAGAGAAAGGGCACACAGAGTCCTAAGCAGGCTTCAGGCTCGGAGCTGTCAGCACAGAGTCCACTGTGGGGCTCGAACCCATGAACTGCAAGATAATGATCTGAGGCAAAGTTGGACGCTTAACTGACTGAGCCACCCAGGAGTCTCTCATCACCTACTTTTTAAAATTGAGATACAATTCACATACAAGAAAATCCAGTTTTTAAAAATGTACAGGACAGTAATTTTTAGTATATGCACAAGATTGTGAACCATCACCACTACTTGCAGGACATTTTTATCACACCAAAAGATACTATCCGTTGGCAATCACTCTCCATTTCCCTCTTATCCAGTCCCTGGAAACCACTAATTTGCTTTCTGTTTCTATGGATTTGCCTATTCTAGACATTTTATATGAGTGCAATTCTACAATATATGGCCTTTTGTGTTGGGCTGCTTTCATTTAGCATGTTTTCCAGGTCCATCCATGTTGTAGCATTTATCAGTACTTAATTCCTATTTATGGCTGAGTATTCCATTGTATGGATAGTCCACATTTGTTCATGGGTTCTTCAGTTGATGGACATTAGGTTGTCCACTTTGTGGTTGTAGAAATAATATAGCTATAGAAATATTTGTACAAGTTTTTGTGTGAATATGGGTGATTGGTTCTCTGTCGCAAATTTCTAGTAGTGGAATTGCAGTGTCATGTATTCTGTGTGTAAGTTATTGAGGAACTGCCCAACTATTTTCTACAATGGATGCATCATTTTACGTTCCCATCCAACAGTGCGTGAGGACTTCAGGTTTTACACATTCTTGCCAACACTTGTTACTGTCACATTTTTTTTTTAACTTTAAAAAAAAATGTTTATTTTTGAGAAAGAGAGCATGTGTGCACACGTGGGAATAGGGTCAGAGAGAGAAGAGAGAGAGAATCCCAAGGAGGCTGTGCACTGTCAGCACAAAGCCTGATGCGGGGCCCATCTCACAAACCATGAGATCATGACCTGACCCAAAATCAAGAGTCAGATGCTTAACTGTCTGAGCTACCCAGGTGTCCTTGTCACCTACTTTTAAAAGTAATTAGAGGTGGTTACCACAAAAACACAAATAAGAAGTAGGTAACCGTATGAACCAAGTGTAGAAAGAAAAAGGAAACCTGTCATCTCTTGAAGGGAGCTTATTATCTCTTACTTTCTCTCCTATCCTGTAGTTTCCATGGTATAATAAGAAGAAACCTAGGGGAGACTACACAGGAAGTAGATAACTATGCAGTGTAAATCAGTAGTATTAACTGTGCAGTGTAAATCAGCAGTGAATTCAAAGTAATTTGTGGATATATGTTAATAGTAGTCATGATAGCCATTCAATATGGAGTAGAAGTTGATCTAAATAGAATTCTTTCAACCTGAATTATATTTTATTTTGCTCTGCTGTCCATCTCCAGCATATTGATAGTGCATATTTGTAATTTAGACTTTGAGGTGATAATACATGATGAACCTGCATACTTTTTGAGTACATAAATGAATATTAGATTCTGTTTAGAATAGCATATAATTAATGGTATAATCTCATGATTTATTAAATTCTTTATAATTTTTCATATTTGGTGTACTTAGTAACTATCTGGGAACTATATTGGATATTATGAAGTCTTGGGAAAACTGTATTTCTGATATTCATATGTAAACTTAAATGTTACTGACTATTCATTTCTGTACTGTGCTGCTAGCACTGACTAAATGAATCCATCTTTTCTTCCCATTTTTACCAATCTGATAGGTAAAAAGGCATTGTTGATTTCATTTATGTTTCTTTTATTTGTGTGCTTAGTTGTGGTTCACTGATAATTTGTATTTCTTCTTTGGATTGCCTTTTTCCTTTTTTTTTTAATTTCTTTTATTAAAAAATTTCTTTTTAATGTTTATTTTTGTGAGAGAGAGGGAGAGACAGAGCTTGAGCGGGGGAGGGGCAGAGAGAGAGGGAGACACAGGATCCGAAGTAGGCTCAGGGCTCTGAGCTGTCAGCACACAGCCCGACTTGGGGCTCGAACTCACGAACTGTGAGATCATGACCTGAGCCGAAGTCAGTCGCCTAACCAACTGAGCCACCCAGGCGCCTCCTGTCTTTTCCTTTTTAATTCATGGAAGTTATTTATATAGCACATGTTCCATGCAGTTATTCAAGGATACTCAAAAACCATTGATTTAATGAATAAATGAATTAATGTTTTTCCATACTTACAACTTTATTAATGCATGTCGCCTGAAACCTGGGGGTGAATGCTTCAACTAGCATTTCCCTGTTGGGGGCTGTAGTGACGTCATAGAGGCCATTTTATGTACTTCCAGTTTGCCTCTTCCTAATCTGTCCCCTCTTCTAGCCTTAGGCCTGTCTTGCCAGAAGTATAAATTACAGGTGGGTGAGTATAGAAGGAGTGGGAGTAAAGGTTATAGGTAACCTGAGACTTTCATATCTGTTTTGAATCATCCCCCACCCCCTCCATTATGTTCAGGTGTGACATTGTTCACTTTCCATCTGTGGCCCATATTAGGAGCTCCCCCCTCGTCCAAAATACTCCACTTAACTAGTTGCAGCTAAATATTCTCCTGCAGGTATGGCTTACAAGTGAATCCATGGCCAGCAGCCGTGACCACTGGGCAGTTAATACCCCTAATGGCCCCCCCAGTGAGCCCTCTGCTTGCGATCACCCTTTATGTTTCTCGCCTTTAGCGAGAAAGGTGTGTACTTTTTAGGAATCCTCCCTTGCCTGTGATATGTTGGGAAATGCTTATTTGGTTTTTCTGTCAATCCAGTTCTACTTTGTTTTATTTCTATAATTTTCTTCAAAGTTTCTATGTCGTTGGCATCCTTTCCTGTCACCGTGAAAATCAGTACAATTTTGAGAGGAAAGGAGAGCAAGAAGTAAATGTATGTGTTCAGTTTTCTGAACATTTGCATAAAAGGTATCTTGCCTCCAGTGGGAGAGATTAAAAGAGGCAAGTGTGGGCACAAGTAGACCAAAAAAGCAAGAAGATTGGCAGTTATTTAAGAATAGTTTGACCACCTCTTATGGCATAGTATACAGTTTTTATTAAGGTAGTTTTCATAGTTAAATAGTATTTACTGTTTCTTACGTAAATAATTTCTATTTTGTCATCACAGTTCTTCAGTATAGTTGGGAGTTTTGTTTTTTTTTTTTTTCCAACGTTTATTTATTTTTGGGACAGAGAGAGACAGAGCATGAACGGGGGAGGGGCAGAGAGAGAGGGAGACACAGAATCGGAAACAGGCTCCAGGCTCTGAGCCATCAGCCCAGAGCCTGACGCGGGGCTCGAACTCACGAACCGCGAGATTGTGACCTGGCTGAAGTCGGACGCTTAACTGACTGCGCCACCCAGGGGCCCCAGTTGGGAGGTTTTAAAGAGAGGAAATTGATATGTAAGTTGTCCAGTCATCCGGCTTTAACCTGCTGTCTTGTCTGAGTGAGAAAAAGGCTCAGTTCTCCTGTGGACTGCCCCCTTTTTTGGTGTAATAAGGGGCTTTATGCCCTAGGCTAAGGGTTTTCTTTTGAATCTAAAATATTTTTAAAACTTTAAAATTAGGTATTGACTTGATTAAATTTCTATTCAGGTGAGTGATTCCAGCAGGACTATGAATGTTGAAATAAAGAGAGGAAGACGGGACAAGAATACTGATAGAGTACTTTGTCAACTTTGAGAAAAGGCAGAAGAGTCAGATGATCAGAGCTATTTTCATAGTAGAACATAAGGATTTAGTAGATTATTGTGTTCTCTCTTGAGCTGCCGGGTACTTGTTGAATAATACTAATTATAGCTTTGTTCACACAAACTTTAAACCATTGTGGGTCCTCAGGAGAAGCAACAAGGAAACAACAATTACGCCAAGTTTGATACAATAATCTGTTAGTAAATTGTGAACATAAAGGATTATACTAATGAAATTAATAGTTTCTCCTCTGCTTTAATCAAAGCAAATTTCTCATTTCATTCTTTTTCTTTAGTTGGAAGATGCTGGTTCAAGTAGTTTAGATAATCTACTAAGTAGATACATCTCAGGCAGTCACCTACCCCCACAGCCTACAAGCACCATGAATCCCTCCCCAGGACCTTCTGCCCTGTCTCCAGGATCATCAGGTAAGCCATCAGAGGCCCTGCCTCATTTCTTTAACACTGTAAAAAGCTATCTGTCATTATAGTTGACCTTTGAAAACAGGTTTGAACTGCACGGGTCCACTTAATATGTGGAGTTTTTTCAGTGAATGCAGTACTATAAATGTATTTTCTCTTCCTTATGATTTTTTTTTTTTAATCTTTATTTATTTTTGAGAGAGTGAGAGAGAGAGTGAGAGCAGGGGAGAAACAGAGAGAGAGGGAGACACAGAATCCGAAGCAGGCTCCAGGCTCTGAGCTGTCAGCACAGAGCCCAACATGGGGCTCGAACCCATGAACCGTGAGATCATGACCTGAGTCGGACACTTAACCGACTGAGCCACCCAGGCGCCCCCCCCTTATGATTTTCTTGATAGCATCTTTTCTCTAGCTTACTTTATTGTGAGAAAACAGAATATAATATATGTAACATGCAAAATACGTGTTGACTGTTTATGTTATTGGTAAGGCTTCTGGTCAGCAGTAGGCTGTTAGTAGTTAAGTTTTTAGGGAGTCAAAAGTTATATGCAATTTTTAACTGCACTGGGTGGGGGGGGCGGTGTCAATGCCTATAACTCTCACATTGTTTTAAGGGTCAGCTGTGTATGTATTAGGATTTTCCAGGAAAACAGAACCAATAAGAGAGGTGTGTGTGTGTGTGTGTGTGTGTGTGTGTGTGTGTGTATGTGTATATGTATGTAGAGGGAGATTTTAAGGAATTGGCTCACATGACTGTAAGGACTAGCAAGCCATTGGGCAGGTTGGCAGGCTGGAGACCCAAGGGAAAGTTGATGTTACAGTCTAGAGTTTGGAGGCAAAATTCCTTCTTCCTCTGGGTACCCTAGTCTTTTCTCTTAGTTCTTCCAGTGATAGGATGAGACCCATCCAAATTGTGGAGGTTGATTTGCTGAGACAGAATCTACTGATTAAAATGTTAATCACATCTAAAAACACCTTTACAGCAACATCTAGACTGGTGTTTGGTCAAACAACAGGGTAGTTATATTCTAGCCAAGTTGACATAAAACTGACCATCATAGTATCATCATATCATATTTTTTTCCCTGATTGCTGTACTTATTTTTCTTCAAATTCTGTTGGTGGTTTTCAACTAAAGTAGTATATACCTGTAACATACACTGTTCAGAACTGTATTCACGTCCTCTGCTGGATTTGTAGATGCAGTTACTTGCCATGTCTTATATTTTATGATACAAATGGTCAGTTGGAGAGTTCTTTGGTTTCATCCTCAATTTAAAACTTGTAAGGTAATGAAAAATGGAAATTAAAGAACAAAACAAGGATTGAGGAAAGGCAAATGAATTTTCAAATTGCAATTTTAAAATAAAAACTTAAATTTATTGGAAACTGTTCACATTGTGACTAATCAAGTCTATGAGGGTACAGATCTCTTCCAAAATCCCAGTTGTTTTATTAACCCTGTTTGTCATGAAGGAATGAATAATTAAAGCAAATCTAAATGGATTGACAGTGCAGAAGTGGTTACAGAGTATATTTTCTTGGTTTAAATTAAACATTATTTCTTACTGAAATAGAAACAGACCACCTCATTATTTCTGGAGTAAAGATAGTTCAAGTTTAAATGTGAGTTTTTCATAAGATGCATCATTAATACAATTTCTGAGTGGTAGAATTTTTAAGGTGTAATATAATTATTCCAGGACTTATAAAGAAGGAGTAACTATCAGGAATCTAAGAAAGATATTTACCAGATGACTTGGAGTTGGATGGTAAATAGCTTTCTCTTGATGTGGTAGTTTTCGTTGATTGGATAGACTTGCTCTGAGGGGAATTCTGAGAATCATGTCTGGGCTCAGCTGACAGAAATTGGTTGAAACATGCCAAGGGTTACACATGCCATCCCTGATTTTGAGGTTAAGGCTAGGCCTGATTTCTAAGAATTGCTAAATTGCATCATAGTAATCTTTAATTCTGTAACTAGTAGGTAGAATTCTGAATATTCTTCCCTGCATTGATAATCATTTTATGTATTATTTTCCAGGTTTATCCAATTCTCACACACCTGTGAGACCCCCTAGTACCTCTAGTACTGGCAGTCGAGGCAGGTGAGTTTTAACATTGTTAGTGGGTTTTTTTTTTCCCTTTTTTATTAAGAAAAATTTTAAACATGTATTTTAATAAGAATATTACGTCGAAATCCTATGCTTATCAGTCAGCTTCACCAATTACCAAGTTATGATCATTTTTATTTCTTCTGTACTCCCATACATTTCCCCCTACTCTGAATTATTTTGAAACAAACCTCAGACATCTTATCATTTTACTTGGACTGTTTCAATGTATATCATTTGAAGAATTTAAAAAATTTATAACCGCACAACAATTGTTGCACCTAAGAAAAATTTATTAGCTAATTCTTTAACATCAGTAGAGATCGAGTTACAGATTTCCCAATTTTTCTCATCCCTTTTTAATAAATGGTTTCTTTAAATTGCATTAAAATAAGCTGTATGTACATTGCCATCCACAGATACGTTGAGGTCAAAATCAGATTGTATGTTGAAGAAACATATTGTTTCTCAAAACAGAGTTTTCCCCACCTTGTCATTTAAATACACTGCTTGCTGTTTTTTCCCCTCTGTATTAATAATTTTGATGAGGAGATTTGGTCAGATTTAGGTTTGATTTGGGGGAAGGCTGGGTTGGAAGAATACTTCATTGGTGGTGTTGAGTACTTCCGTCAGGGCACGTAATGTTTGGTTGATTCTGTTTGGTTGATTCTGTGACAGCAACCATTAATGATCATTGCCTAGCTATTTTTTTTTTTTTTTTTTTTTTTTTTTTTTTTTTACTGGTTGAAAATAATGATATTTTAATTAATGTGTTCTTTCTTTTTGTTTACTGGTGTAATCTATTTCTGTAAAGGAAATTTTTCTGTCATAATAATGAGTTGGTTCCCAGCACCTTCCAACAGTGACCAATGAGATTTTTTATTATTACCTTTATGAACTCATAAATTTCAACATTTTACATGTTCTAAACTATTATAGATGTTATTTTTATTGGGTTAAATTATTCCCTGTTTGGCTGTTTGGCTCCTTAGTCCTTTGGTATAACCCCAGTAGTCTTTGAAAACTTCCTTACTCCTGTTACGAAATGATGTTCCAGGTTTGTCTTATAGATTTCCTGCCTCAGGCCTACTGATCTCCATATCTTTAAGAAATCTTGGTTGTGCTAATAAGGAAATAGTGCTTGGAGACAGTCTTCTGGACATTAGGGGCACTCATTGCTACTTAAATTGTTTCTTATGCCTTTTTGGTGGACAGGTTTAAGAAATGGGGCTGGTGTGTGGGGTGTGTTAACATAAAATAGAATAAATGTTGACTGATTTTTAGTTTGAATAATTTAGTGCAATGTAAGAAAGACTTAAGATACATGAATTACTTTCTTAAATAAACTTTTTAAAACATTTTTTTATTTTGAGAGAGACAGAGATAGCACAAGTGAGGGAGGGGCAGACAGGGAGGGAGGGCCTCCATGGGGCTCTAACTCAAGAATCTGTGAGATCATGACCTGAGCCTAAACCAAGAGTTGGCCGCGTAACCAACAGAGCCACCCAGGTACCCCTGAAGGTTTATCTTATTTGCATGTGTGTGTGTGTGTGTGTGTGTGCGCGCGCGCGCATTCTGAAGACGGGTGCTATTAAAATACTTGCTTGACTTTTTAATTATGCTTTAAATAATCAGTACTTTTAGAGGAAAGTACAGATTGAAAAAGGTGTTCATTCTCAGTAGCAGTACGGTCTTACCAGTTTCTTCTCACTTCTCTTGCCAGTGGTTTTTGTGGTTTAGATAGAACCAATTAGTCATATACCTGTCCTCTTAGCCTATCATTTTGTTGATTCAAAAAAGGGTATTCTGGGTTGTTGACTACTTGTTAAACCCTTCTTCCAATTTCCTGCCCTCAAAAGCTAAAATAGAGTTTCCTTTGAGGAGGCTTTATGAACCACTGTTATTAATGCTGTTTTCTATAGATGTTTGGGGGCAGAGAAGAATTGAAAATGCTTTTATTATTATTTTTTAATGTTTTATTTATTTTTGAGAGAGAGCGTGAGCAGGGGAGGGGCAGAGAGAGAGAGGAGGACAGAGGATCCGAAGTGGGCTCTGCACTGACAGACAGCCTGATGTAGGGCTTGAACTTACAAACTGTGACCTGAGCTGAAGTCAGATGCTCAACTGACTCAGCCAACCAGGTGCCCCAAAACTGCTTTTATAAAGAAAAACAGGGGCGCCTGGGTGGCGCAGTCGGTTAAGCGTCCGACTTCAGCCAGGTCATGATCTCGCGGTCCGTGAGTTCGAGCCCCGCGTCGGGCTCTGGCCTGATGGCTCAGAGCCTGGAGCCTGTTTCCGATGCTGTGTCTCCCTCTCTCTCTGCCCCTCCCCCGTTCATGCTCTGTCTCTCTCTGTCCCAAAAATAAATAAACGTTGAAAAAAAAAATTTAAAAAAAATAAAGAAAAACAATCACTGATATTCCATATTAACTAGCCTGGGAAAATTGTTATTTACTAGACTTCTTAAATGATTTAGCATAAGTGTCTGACACCAAAATATGAGGTCTTTTCATAGTTTGATCTATGTTTTTAAAGAATTTGAGGCTAAGCTTATATCATACTTCTCTTACTTGCATTATGAGTATCCTTATCTTCTAGAAATACATTGTCTATCATTTTCACTTTAATGAGCATTACTTTTCATAGAATTGGTTTTATATACATTATACAATCAAACATAGGTGACATTTTTTGTTTTTTATTAGCTGTGGGTCATCAGGAAGAACTGCAGAGAAGACAAGTCTTAGCTTCAAGTCTGATCAAGTAAAGGTCAAGCAGGAACCTGGGACTGAAGATGAAATATGTAGCTTTTCAGGAGCTGTGAAACAGGAAAAGACAGAGGATGGCAGGAGGAGTGCATGCATGGTAAGCTCCCATTGGGGTCCGTCAGGGATCTAAGGAGGCCACTGCACGGGTTCTTCCGTCTCCGCATTTTAGACTCTGCATGTTGTTTAGTTTTGAATATTTATGCTTGTAACCCAAGTTTTTAATCGCAGTGTCTGCTATAATGTGTCACAAAAGATTTAATTGTATTAAGGACTCATTTGAAATGATCTTTTAGTGTGTAATTGGTTAGTATTTTTGCCATGAGTCTAAATCGGGTTCTGTATTGTTCTGACTTTATTAATAATCATCTCAGTAGTCACACTGAGTCTCAGGCCACAAAAGATCCTTGACTGTTTTCCTGGATCTGTCAGCTCAGGATTAAGACTGCTGACGTGAAAGAAGTTTAATGATCAAAGAGTTTTGTGATGGGAAGATTGCTTTTGGTTTATGAATTTATTAGCTAGTGTAGAGTTTTTCAGATAGAACATTTTATTAAATGTATAATATAGAATGAAGGAAGGCCACCTCACAAACATACACGCGCCCAAATATTGGTCTTGGCTTTTCTTCCTGCCCAGGCTTAAGTGTCATTTTCTACACAGTTGGCACATAGAAATTTCAAGTAGGAGGATTAGCATATTTATTTAACACAGTATTTGTATATTTAGAGAGCAAAGGGATTTAAAGTTGGCCTTCATCCAATACCTGACTTGGAAAATGCCCCCAGAAAACCGGGTGCAAAAGGGTGGTGAAAGATTTCTTTTACAATTATCAGAATCTTCCAACTTTAGTAAAATGATAAGTAGGCAGAGTAACATTTCTTGGAAGATATGCAACAGAGTCTTATGTGAAAATAGGGTATCAAAGTCAGCTCTTTGTAGGAAAAGTATAATCCTATGCTCTCTTTCCAGTCAATGTGCTTAGCAGCTTAATTAATTTTCTTATTATCCACGTGAACCAGTATTAGAGAGTATTCTATAAAATCATAAATTAACATGCCTAAATAATTTGGGGTTATTTTCATTCTTTTATGTCATAATGCCATTTCCAAATTCATTTTAAATTATGTCAGTGTATATGTGTGTGTATTGCCATGACTTTTAAGTTACACACACATACTGCATACAATAAGGATTAAATGATTCTTTAAGAGGGGCGCCTGGGTGGCTTATTCAGTTGAGCCTCCGGTCTTGATCTCACGGTCATGAGTTCAAGCCCCATGTTGGACTCCACGCTGGACATGAAGCCAACTTAAAAAAAAAGAAAAAAAAAAAAAGATTCTTCAAGAATTTGTCCTTGTTTTGTTTTAGTTGAGCAGTCCCGAGAGTAGCTTGACACCACCTCTCTCAACCAACCTGCATCTAGAGAGTGAGTTGGATGCATTAGCAAGCCTGGAAAACCATGTGAAAACTGAACCTGCAGATACAAATGAAAGCTGCAAACAGTCAGGGCTCAGCAGCCTTGTTAATGGAAAGTCCCCGATTCGAAGCCTCGTACACAGGTCGGCAAGGATTGGAGGAGATGGCAACAGCAAAGACGATGACCCAAATGAAGACTGGTGTGCTGTCTGCCAAAATGGAGGGGATCTCTTGTGCTGTGAAAAATGTCCAAAGGTCTTTCATCTAACTTGTCATGTTCCAACACTTCTTAGCTTTCCAAGGTACCAGTGAAATACTTGACTTTTTTTTGTTCTTGTTTATATAAGCTGAAAGCTAAAAACCAGAAAGTTCTTCATGCAGATGGGCTTCCTAAGCAATGCACAGTATTTCTGTAAAACAGGGGGCCTGTTACTCCTTTGGTATTACCTTCTAGAGAAACTAACAGCTGAATGGTAAAATGTCCAAGATGTAAATAGTGTGATAAAAAATAGACTGTTTCCTGGCCTTCGGTTTGTACTTGGCATAAGCGAAGTAGATAAAACTCTAAATTATGAGAGGTAGGGGTCTGGGATGTTGGAGAAGTTAGTTGATTTCCTGTTGAAGCTGAATTTTTTTATCTATTGGAATCAGTCTTAACAGGGTCTACCATAATTTCATTTAAGAATACTATTTAGTTAGAGGCAGCTCTATTGGATCTTTACCCAGAACTTCCTTTTCTAATGTTTGAAAGCTCTCAAAAGGCATTTGAAAGAAAAAACAAGTACTTTGTAAAAACACCTTCAACACCTTGAGTTTTTTAGTTCTGTCTTCCTCTTGACCACAATAGCAGGTAGTTGGTAGTGCCAGCCCAAAGCATTATGTGCAGATTTCTCAGACTTTTCCTTCTGTCATTTAGCTGGAATGTCTTCCAGTCATGAACTTTGGAATGGAGAGTTACTGAATTCCTTATTTAGAAGAGAAGAACTTGGGATGAAGATAAATAAAGATTGGGGGAAATATGAGCATTATCCTCATACTCTTTGACCCCCCTGGCAGCTCTATATCTGGTTTCAAGCATTAAAACATTCATTGGTGAGCATTCAAGGCAGGCTGGTGTTACTAGCTAACACAGTGGGACAAACGTGCTGGGTTGGGTTACAAAATTTGTGGACTGGTCTTAATTCTGCAGTGAACTAATTTAGCTTGCAAGGTTCACAGATTTTCATGGATTAGTTTCATTTCTTAAGTGGTAGAGTGGGGATTCGAAGAGCTCTTTTTCATCCCTTCCAGTTAACAAGTTGTGCTCAAGCCATATTTGTCTCCAGCTGATTTCAGAGACCGCTTTCTCCCTTCCCAAACCTTTACCCCCAGATTTCCTTTTAAGTGACAATAATGTTCTTGAGAAAGCTCAGCTTTTTTTCTGCCTGTAGATACAACATTCACATTTCCTCTCAGATTCCTTAGAAGCAATGATTTTAGTTGAATAAATACTACCTGTTTTGAAAATTTCAACCTTTGGATTAGAAAAGTGGTGGATATGTATAAACAGTGCCGGAATATTTTTCTGAAGAATCTTAATTCTTACCTGAGTCTTAGGAGGTATAGTCATTTGCCAGAGATGTAATAAGGGCCTTCTTTTACTTTGCTCTTTTATAAAAGGAAAGCATTGGCATTTTGGTGTTATAATTAAGTCATTTTATATTTTTCTTCCCTTTGAGTAGTAACATCTACCGGAATGTTAGAATTTTGCCACTGGATGCTTTCTCTCAAAGGCTGATGCTTGGGAAAGAATTGGAACTGTTGGCACAGACCAGTACAATCTCTAGACTTAAAATTTATTTATGGTGGGGGAGAGAAGGGGAGAATTATTGGGAGTGAATCCTTTTGGAATTTATGGTTTGATGGAAATCCTGATGTAAACAAACTATAGACTGAGCAGGTTTTAAAAGGTAAGAGGTACATATACCTATGTGTGCTTGCACTTAGAGAGTTGTATGTGTATTCGTGGCTTTTGACTGGCCATGAAGAAGAAGAATTTTATTTTTGGCATATTTATTACATGCCAAAACAGTATTGGATACCCCAGGAATTCCGTAAACTGTATTCTTTCCTTATTCATGAGTTGGGGTCGTTGTGGGGTAATACTGGGGTTGACAGTCTTATGCTACAGGTACTGATCATCAGCTTTGTGCTAGGAAGAGGTCCCGTTTGAAATGCAGGGATATCAGTTTTATAAAGCTTTCTAGAAAGTAATTAGTTAAAGAAAGACTGGGGAACGTTTTGGGAAGCTTTTATCATACAACTTCCCTTTATGAGGTCTGATAAGAATAGAGAGCCTCTCTTCCCCTCAAAAACCAGAAAGGAAAGAAAACAAGCTGGAGACTTAACTCTGGAGAACTGGTTTCTCTCTAGAGTGGGTTTTGTTAAAATTACATGAACTAATTGCCTGTTTCCCTCTTTAGTGGGGACTGGATATGCACATTTTGCAGAGATATTGGGAAACCAGAAGTTGAATATGATTGTGATAATTTGCAGCATAGTAAGAAGGGGAAAACTGCGCAAGGGTTAAGTCCCGTGGACCAAAGGGTAAGTGTCAAATAAGTTGGATATATTATTAGGGATTCTGTAGTTAATGTGGTTGTGCACCTCCAGATTACCTAGGTAATCTATAAAATTTTGTACAAAATATTGTATGTTGCTTTTACGACTCCTTTGCATTTGTATAGTCAGTAGTAAATAAATTACCTTAGTCTTCATCTAAGAACAAAACCACTGTATCTTCGATAAATTCATTTAAAGTAGAACAGATGAAGACAGTTTCAAAACTAAATTGGAAACAAGACAGTTTGCTTCAGTTATGTGTATTTAGTTAGATAAGTCAATAGGTAGGCATATGTGTTCAGCTTATTGTAATAATACTTTGTAGTGATAAAGTTCTTTTACTCAAGAATATCTATCTTATTAGGGGAAAAACTATTTCATGAGTTTTCCTTTCTTTTTTGGGGCCAGAAATGTGAACGTCTTCTGCTTTACCTCTATTGCCATGAATTAAGTATTGAATTCCAGGAGCCAGTTCCTGCTTCGGTGAGTTGTTTACTTTAGGAAATCCTTGGTGAAGAAGCCCAGTGTAAGACTTAAGAATGAGGCTGGGGCGCCTGGGTGGCGCAGTTGGTTAAGCGTCCGACTTCAGCCAGGTCACGATCTCGCGGTCCGGGAGTTCGAGCCCCGCGTCAGGCTCTGGGCTGATGGCTCAGAGCCTGGAGCCTGTTTCCGATTCTGTGTGTCCCTCTCCCTCTGCCCCTCCCCCGTTCATGCTCTGTCTCTCTCTGTCCCAAAAATAAATAAACGTTGAAAAAAAAAAATTAAAAAAAAAAAAAAAAAAA